ATATTTCAAAAGCTTAACAGCTCATAATTCTGAAATTAATCGTTAGAATTGGCTAAAATTTGTTATTTTCACTTACGTGTAAATTTACTTAATATTTACAAAATTTCATTGAGATTTGAGGGGGGGGGGGTGTTACTGGCCCTGGATGATTTGGCATGGAATGACCCTACTTTTTTTTTTTAACTTTTTAAAAGTTTACATTTAGTTATTAAATTTCATTTGTTTTCCTTGAAAACATGTGATTTCGGTAAAATAATATTAGTTTTCACAAATTATCATTTATATTTCTTTCGTCACTCTCCATTACCCTCTACGGCTTTCTATATTAGATATCGTTTTATTCTAAAATTCCCTGCTTTCCCACGATATATTATGTGTAATAACCTGACTAGTATTTCCCGAGATTCATTTGCTACCCAAGTAAATAAACATTATCATTTTTTTCTCTATTTTTCAATTAACAAATTCTTTCAAACTCCTGTCACTGTGATAATTATTAAAAACAAACAAAATTAAAAGGTATTTTAAAGAAATTCATGTTGAACATTGTGCATTTAAGCCAAGTAAAGTGAAATCAATGGCTGTAAGATCTAAATGATATATTTTTTTTTTTTTTATCTATCTGTTTATTGAGTAATAATACATTTTGCCACACTTAAGGGCACTGAGTATTAAGGCTGAGAGAGGCGCATTCATACCATATATACAACACATAAAAAAAAAATAATAATAAATAAGTAAATAAATAAAAAAATAAATAAATAAAAAATATAAAAATCTATATAAAAAAGGCAAAAACTATAATAAACTAGGAAATGTAACTAAGAGTAAAAATTAAATGAAATACAGAAATTCGTAGCAAAATTAAATAAATTATAAGTAATAGAAATAAATAGAAAAACATTCTTACTTAAATACAATATTTACAATTTGGTAAGAGATCTTCGAGTCCAACCCTTTCATTGACTATCATACGGAGGACTTTAGACTGAAAGAATTGGATGCGTTTGATGTTTGAAAATTTAGTTGTCCCCCACAGTTCAAGTCCGTAGGTCCAGATGGGTTTGAGTATGGTCTTGTATATTAATAGTTTGTTTTCTATTGATAGATTGGATTTTCTGTTAAGTAGTCTGTATAGCTGGCCAAATCGTCGGTTAAGTTCTTGTCTTTTAAGTCTAGTATGTGGGTTTCAAGTTAGTCTTTTGTCTAAAAGGAATCCAAGATACCGAACTGTGTCTGAGACGGGGAGCTAAATGATATTAGAGACCACTTTATTATACAATAATACACCGAGTTTAATCAAAATCATTTGAGCCGTTTTTGAGAAAATTGTAAAAATTTGTATGACCGTCGATAAAGAGTGACACTTGCGGTAGTCGATTTTATAAAAAAGTTGCTGTTACATCTCAGGTATATACCTATCTTAAATACATAAATATCAGTATCCTACGTCTTTTCGTTTTTGAGCTAGACTGTGCACAGGCACACAGACCATTTGGCGAGACTTAGTTATTTGGACCCTGCGGATCTGAAAAAGTGTATTTCTATGCACAAAAACGTAGATTTGAAAATTTTGACAATCGCAATACTTTCCCTAACTATATATTACATTTATTGGTAAGTGAAAGTGAAAATATAATGAAAGTATATATGTTGGTTGTTAATATTAAATAATATTATCACTTGAATGAAACCACTTTTTGTTATTATTACAAACATGTGATTTAAGGGAGTTTAAAGTATTTTCAGGTTAGATTTTATAATGAAGCTAATCTTAACATGTCCTTCTTCAAGCTAACAACATATAATAGATACGAAACAAAATTGAACAATAAACATATAATAATACCATAAATAATACACAAAACATAATCATAAATAATGTTTTAACATTTTTTTACTTTCACTTACGTATATATGTAAGTATTGCGATCGAGAAAATTTTTGAATCTGAGTTTTCAACGGAAATCGACGTTTTGAGGTACCCTGAGTCGAAATGACCAAGTCCCGAAAAATGGTCTGTGTGTTTGTATGTTAGCAGTCTAGCTCAAAAACGAAAAGTCCTACGGAACTGATATCACGTATTTAAGATAGGTATATGCCTTAGATGTGACAGCAACTTTTTCTTTAAAATCGGCTAACCGGAAGTGCAACTTTATATCAACGCTGAAACACATTTTCACAATTTTCTCAAATACGGTTCTAACGATTTTGATTAAACTCGGTGTATCATTGTATAATTAAGTGGTCTTTAATATCAATTAGGTCTTATCCCCATTGATGTCACTTAACAGGGATTAAATGCCCAATGTTCATATACGTCTTCCTCTAAAGTCCCCTAAAGATGGTTTATTTTAAAAATTTAATGATTTCACATTATTCAAAGTAATGAAAAAATGCTAAATATAACTTTTGAAAGAATTTAATAAGTCAATAAAGGAGAAAAAAAAAGAAAAGCAGAAACACCTACGTTGCTATAGACTGTAGCGCCTAAACGGATGTACCGATTTCAATGAAACTTCGCTAAAATCATTTTCTCCACACTCTTTAAATTTATCTATATAACATACTTCAACGAAAAGAAGCTGGAAAAAAAGTTACGAGCGATGGTAAAATTAAATTCCGAATAACTCAAAATTCGGATATTATATATGGTTTTTGAAAAGTTTATGGAATTTCCTAAAAAAAAAAAAAAAAATCGTTAAGATCGGACAACTAGGAGGAATGATATGGTCTCTAGTTTTTTTTCCTGAAGAGGCGAAAATTTGGATAAATTTAAAACATACTATTTTAATTGTTAAGACTAAAAAAACTTTTTTTTCTACAGATATTTAATAAAGTATCTTTCCTATGAACATTTTTCATAAGAAATAAGTACCTAAATTTATACCTTTATTCTCAGTTCTATATTTCAACATTGCAATCATAACCTCCGGAATCAACTTACTCATATTCTGTATAGATAACATTTTCAACTAAAAATATTACTAAAATGACATCACTTAAAAATATTGAAATTGGAGTTAGTCAATCTGAAGTATATAAAAGCAAAGAAAGTTTTGTGGTTTATAAAAGCAGATGGAGTGACTAGATTTTTATTGCCTGTTGAAAATGAACTTCAAAAAAATTTATTATAGCCCAGCATTGCCAGAAAATAATTTCTATTCAAAGTAGATCGGTAAGTGAAAGTTGTGTGTTGCGCGCACCAGATTTTTGTATTCCATTTCACAAAATAAGCTGAGATATTTTAACTACGCCGCCATATCCTACCCACTGGTTATGATGGAACTAGGTTATGTTATTATTAGAACTGTTTGAACTATCTCTACTTTCATCTACAGCTTTATCTTAATTGTTAAAATATAATCATGCTTTCCTAATTCATATGCTTTTAATATTTAATACTTCTATCAAACCACTTTATATTTTTAACACAATAATTCCAATTAATATTAAAAACATGTGACTTTAGGAAAGTTATCATTAGGTTATATTTTACATTGTAACCAATCATCAGATGTTTCACATTAATTAGACAGAATGGAATAGGAATAAGTTTATTTCTTGTTTAGATTAACAAAGGACTAGAGAAACATGTATTTATGAAAAATAAAAAAACCTGCAAATAAATACATAGTTACCGAAAATATATAATACACAAATTCATTCTTGGTGGTGGGTTTATGGTCGACTGTAGTAAATAATTCATAATTGGTAATTGGTTGACTGTCGTGGATAATGAAGAGAAGAATAGTTGAGGTGCTCAGTCAAAAAAGGAAGGCAAACAATAAATTATAATATTTATTTTTTACATATGCCGACGTTTCGACCTGAAGTTCAGGCCTTCATCCGGGCTTTCTCCTTAAGTGTCAAGGGGAGAATTGAATTATTGTAGTAAATAATTGAAGAGAAGGATGGTTAGGTTGATCAGTCAAATTAAAATTTTAAAAATAAATAATTTATTTCTTTTTACATTCGCCGGCGTTTCGGCCCGAAGTTTAGGCCTTCATCAGGGCTGCTGTGCAAGAAGCAAAGACAGACGATAAAATAAAATTCCAGAAAATAAAATAAAAAAATCTGTTAATTAAAAAATGTTTTAACATACACGGATTCATAAAATGGCTATGTAGATGTTTCAAAAATGTTCAGTATATTATAGGAAAACAAAAAAATATTTTTTAGACAAAAAGATGTCTTGCGAGAATTTTTCTTGAATCCAGCCCTAATGAAGACATGAACTTTGGGCCGATACGTCGGCAAATATAAAAATAAATATAATTTATTTATTGAGAGTATGTAATAGTTTGACAAAAATTAAATCACAAATGATAAAATAAAAATAAAAAATAAGATAAAATAAATAAAATCAAATATAAAATAGAAAGAAATTCTCCTATGCCTTTATCAATGGTTACATTTGAAAAGAGTCTGTTTCTGTATCTAAAAATGTTTTGTAAATATAATAATACATTATTAGCTAGCTTTTAGAAATAGAGAATTAATATGGCAAATTATTTTAAACTTTATTTAATTCAAATATAGCTAGATAGTTATTTTAACATATTTTATGGTTTAAGGGGTTCTGGTAGGTTCACTCAATAACTATAAACAATTAATATATACAATTTATTTTTTGGAAAAAAAAACAATACAAAGCTATGAGTAACAAAGTTAGAAACAAAAATACAAAAGAAAATAACGTTATACAAAATGAAAAAATTCAGCTGCAAAACATTAATTACAGAATGAAGAGAGGAAAAAAGATAAAGTTTTATAAAGGAAAAAAATACAATTATGCTTGCCAAATTAATAGATACTTAAACGAGTTGCAACTCCAGAATAGATAATAATACCGCGATGCCGCTAGGTAAAATTATATACTTTTCACGTTAGCGAAAAACACAGTGATTCTTTCTATCACACGCTCACAAAATGGCTCGTCTTTTCTCATCTGATTTTCTTTAACGACTCAATCGATAATTTGTATAGAGTCTAGACGATTAATTTCCAAAGAGGTTGAAAGAAATTAATCTAGCTGCAGAATCGATTACTGAAAGCGTCATGACTTCAGAAGAGGATTGTGGTAACAATGGTAAATAAATATACCGAAACTTTCCTGAGTTTACTTTAAAGAAATAAGGTATTCCCAATTTTATGCCATATAATTTTTGCACCTCTATTGAGCTTATATTATCCAAGTTAGGTTGCAAAGGCTTTGATATATTTAAATAATATGATAATGTGATGTTTAGTTGCGTAGCCGAAAGGTATCCTATAACATCCTGGTGTCCTTTCCAAGAAGCTGCGTAGTTCAAAGCTGTGAATCCCCACTTATCTTCGTTTTCTATTTTTAAAAGAGCCTGGCGAAGGAGTTTCACTACTTCGAAGTGACCTCTGGCAGCGCTGCGGTGCAAAGCTGTCCTTCCATTGATGTCAGGCTGAAGACTTTCGACTCCAACCTGCAAGAGCAAAGCTACCACCTTAGTGTGCCCTTCTCTTGCAGCCAAGAACAAAGGAGTCTCTTTATTAATGTTTACAGATGTAGTTTGCCTGAAGGGCTTTTTTATGCCAAAATATTTATTTTCAAGTAATAACTGAATTATTGCGCCATAATGGCCGAATAATGCGGCGTAATGCATAGGTATGTTGAGCAACCTATCCCTTCTGAATGGGTCTGCCCTCTTGTACAATAGGTACTCTATGGCTTCAGAAGAATTGTCTCTAGCTGCAATATGTAACGGGGTCATTTGGTTGTTGTCCTTTGAATGTATATCTGCACCATGATAGAACAAAATTCCTACAATAAATGTTTGATCGAACCTAATTCGTTCAGATTTGTTGTTCCATTCGCACAACAGATGTAATGGCGTGCTGCCGTTTTTGTTTCTGCTGTTGATGTAAGCTTTATGACCAAGCATCGAACGAACTACATACGAGTGTCTTTCTCTTGCGGCGAAATGTAATGGTGTCATACCATTAATGTCAGCTGCATCCTTTTCAGCTCCTTCCCTCAATAAGATTCTCACTATATCCTCATGACCCTCGCGTGCAGCTATATGTAGTGGAGTTTTGAAATCAAGAGTTTTAGCTTCTTTATCGGCATTAAGAGTCAATAATAACTCGGCTATTTCTAGAGATCCGTTCATAGCTGCCAGGTGAAGAGCTGTGTATCCACTGTTATCTGCTTGGTTTACAGCAGCTGGTGGATCGGAAAGCAGTAATTTAGCAATTGGAAGAAGACCTTTTCTGCAAGCGATGTGTAGGGGAGTAGTTCCGTTGATATCGGCAGGACTTTTGATGGATGTAGAATTCAAAATCAGTTTCACAACTTCCACATGATCATTCTCACATGCGTAATGAAGTGGTGAATGTCTTAATGGTCTATCTCTAAGTTCTAAGGAAGCGTTGTATGATATCAACAATCTGACAAGATCCTTGAGACCGTAGAAGGAAGCAACGTGCATCGCTGTCGCATTACGGATCTGTATAATGCTGTTGTTGGATGTAAAAAGCTCTACATCACAATTTGCATCTAAAAAAGTTTGAAAATTCTTTTTACTGAATGTATCATTTCCGATTTTGATTTTACTCGATCCTGTTTCTAAAATTAATTTAACAAACGCAATATTTCTTGACATAACTGCTAAAGTAAGGGGGAGATTACCATGGATGTCTTTCTCCACAACGTCTGCTCCGTGAGCGATGAGCAGGTCGATTCCTTCTGAAAACCGCTCCCCAATGGCATGGTTAAGAATAGTCGTTGGGTAGGAGTTGAAGTTTTTAGTCTTATCCAACAGGAGCTTTATAATTTCTATAGATCTATTTGAAACCGCATCGAAAAGAATTTTTGATCCTAAGAAACTATTATCTTCTACTCTGGCTTCATGATCAAGAAGGAATTTCATAATTTTTTCAGATAAAGGATCAAAAGTTAAATCCAAAGGGGTCTGTCCGTCTTCGCTCATTAAATTTGGATCAGCATTCTTGCGCAGAAGATATTCAATGAATGCAGTGTCATTCCTTCTAATTGCCATGTGAAGAGCTGTGACACCATTACATCCGTTTCTATTGACATCATCCCGTTCTAACAAAGTATTTAGCACTTTAACATTTCCAATACTAGCTGCCCACTGGAGTGGGGTGAAGCAAATATAATCTTCGATAACCAAGCTGGCGTTCCGGGACAGCAGGTAGCCAACGACTCCAGCATAACCTCCAGCAGCAGCTTTATGGAGCGCTGTTTGTTTGAGATAACTTTGTGAATTCAGTTCGGCTCCGTGCTCCAAAAGGGTTTTCATTACAAGGACTGTTTTATTTTCAAATTTGAACATTTCATTATCTTCCGAAATCGTATCGTCATTCCGAACTGCAAAATGTAGAGGTGTTTCACCATGTTCGCCTTCACTATTGACATCCGCACCGTGACCAAGAAGCATCTCAATGACTTTAATGTTTCCACGCTGGGCTGCCAAGTGTATAGCCTCATTACCGAAATCGTCTCTAATTTTTAAAGAAGCCTTTTTGAAAAGAAGGAAATTGACCATTGCTTCATCACCATTCGAAGCAGCCGCCATCAAAGGAGTCGTTCCGGTTTCCCCCTGGGCATTGACGTTAGCTCCGTTATTTAGAAGAGCTTCGGCAATGTTTATGTTCTTTTTCATTATCGCTAAGTCCAAGGCAGTATTACCATCCCTGTCCTGCACATCTACATTTGCATTCATTGACAACAATAAATTTACTATTGCTTCGTTACCTTCCTTAGTAGCGATCATCAAAGCTGACTCGTTGTATAAATTCAACTTATTGACTTTATACATTGCTCCGTTATTGAGAAATGATTTGACTACATTTATACTCATTTTACTTATTGCTATCTGCAAGGCAGTATTACCAAACTCGTCCTCCACATCTACACTTACATACTTTGACAGCAATAAATTTACTATAGCTTCGTTACCGTTCTTAGTAGCGATCATCAAAGGTGACTCTCTGTACATATTCAAATGATTGACGTTAGCTCCGTTCTTGAGAAGAGAGTTAACTATATTTATATTATTTTTCTTTATTGCCACATTCAAGAGATAATTTAAAATCCTTAGATACACATTTGCATTCTTTGACAATATTAAATCTACTATAGATTCATGGCAGAAAACAACAGCGATTTCCAGTGGTGTTACATTATTATAATCTTCAATATCGGTATCAGCGCCATGATCGAGAAGTATCTCAACTATATTGAGATGTCCTCCTCTTATTGCGTAATGGATAGGAGTGTGCTTGCAATCGTCTAAAACGTTTACATTTACGTTTTTTGATATCAGCAGATTCACAAGAGATTCGTCTCCCCTCCAAGCGGCCAAATGTAGAGGTGCCTGACCATGCAGACCTTTTATATCAACATCGGCAGTGTCGGCGATAATTGTTTTAGCATTCTCCGGGCTCCCTCTTCGCAATGCAGTGTGTATTGCAGCATCGTGAACATTTGTTTTGCTATGATATTCCTCGTTTTTCTCAATAGTTATGGACTCGCCAAACAAAAGTTGTAAATGTTTTTCTCGAATAGAATTATTCAACCCATCTTCATTGTAATAAATATCCTCACATTCTCCATTACTAGCAGCTTCTTTAAGATAAGTGTTATAACGACGGCAATATTCATTATACCTCTCATGGATGATCCCCATTCCATAATTTTCCTCCTGAAAAAAGAAATATAGTAATTAAATTGAAAGCAACAATTTATTTTACAGCTATTTCATGCCTCTATACTTGCAAATCAAATATCAAATATAGCTTTATCTAAGGCAGGACTGTATGATAGCAGTAGGAAATAAATTTACAGTTGTTATGAAATGATAGTAACTGTAATTGATAGTATAAACTAGCGATTTAAAATATATATATTGTTTTTTACTTTCACTTACATATATATGAAATATATAATAAGGGAAAGTATTGCGATTATGAACAGTTTCGAATCTTAGTTTTCAACGGAAATAAGGTGTATTTGAGGTACCCTGAGTCCAAACAACTAAGTCTCCCAAAATGGTCTGAGTGTATGTGAACAGACTAGCACAAAAACGAAAAGTTTTACTAAACCGGGATCGTGTATATCGCTTTTGTATGCCTGGGATGTTACCGATAAATATAAATTATGAAAAAAAATTGGTAATTGACTAAAAAGAAAAAAATGAATAATAATTTCTGAAAACTGACATAATTTAACGTCAATCACATGTTTTCAAGGAAATCAAATGAAATTCGCTTAAAATCAAGGCAATGACATTGTTTAAAATACTATTTCATTGTACTTGTGTGAAAGACGAAGTGAAATATAAAAATATTACATGGATATTATGTTTATAATATTAAATCCATTTACTGTAGTTTAATAACTCTAGATGTGATATTATATTTAAATAACTAGGTATCTATCGTCCGTTTATTTAAAAAAAATGATCATATAAACTTTTAGAAAATTTAATTAGTGAATAATTTGATGAATTTTCCCCTTTGTGATTATTTGTGATTATGATTATCTACTTACATTTTGAATGACAAATTTTTACCTATCTATGACAGGTAATGCAATCTATCTATGATAGGTAATGCAATCTATCTATGACAGGTAATGCAATCTATCTATGACCCGTAATTCCATTTTAGTAAAGTTTACAATGGATAAAAAAACAGTTGAATAACTAACAGTCGTACTTTCCATATTCAACGGATCTTACAATCCATAATCAAAGGATCGTACAATCCATAATCAAAGGATCATAAAATCCATAATCCAACTTTGACTTAACAAATAGGATTTGTTTATTTTGATGGTATTTATGATTTGTTAGCTGTAAGCATCAAGCTTTAGCTCGGTTAAAAATACACCTCGAAAATGTTATGATAGTCCAACAATGCCAGAAAATAATTTGATCAATCAAAATTGAGCGGTAGATGAAAGTTGTGTGCACCAAATTTATATTATTTGATGGTTAAATATTATTGCAATAATTAATATTTTGTTTTATACAATAATTAAAATAAAGTAGAGGAATAAAAAAATAAATGCATATTAGGATCAGGAAAACTGATAACTTTGTTACTGTAGCAACATTTTCAATACTCAGTTTATTCTATTATTAATTATAACAATAATAATAAAGACGCTATATCCGGTAATAACGGAAAAACTGTAAAGATGGAAAAAACTGGGATATCGATAAAGACGGAAAAGATAGCATTTGTGCCCAAGTATATTAAAATATATGATAATAATTATAAAGAGTAATGACGCTAAGATATAAAATATAATTTAACAGGAAAGTTCGGGAAATATGAGCTCCTATAGTTCAAAAGATGGCAGTCATGCTCAAAGATTTAAAATAAAATAAAGATATTTTTTTATTATAATAAATAAGATAACACTAAATTTAATTAATTATTCATTTAAGATTGATTTAATTTAATTTATAGGTTAGTATCAAAGTCCGCTGGAGCGACAATTGAAATTAAAAACATAACTAATGTTGGCGTCATACCTGTTAAGCTAGGCCAACCTAAACTACAAGTACCACATCATATAATAACAATTTTCTTTTACCTAGCAGTACTTTTTGAGAAATATAATTTAATAAATATAACTGGTAATTCAATAGATATTTAAATTATTCAAAATTTAATAAAACAATATTAAACGACTTAAAAGTTCACATAGATATTATTCGTAGTACAATATTAATAATAGATGAAAAAACTATAACATTAAATTACACAATCCAAACAATAGCTAATTTAAAATAGGCTTAATTAAAAACTTAGGCTCCATTATAAAAAGTATAACCGGTAATTTATATTTTAATGATAAAAAACAATTTTCTAAAATGTTAAATTTTGATTCTTTTTGTTCCCACTTGTTTTGTTCAATTTTTTCCCACATTAATTGGTACAATTGGAAATTGATTAATCCAGTATGAATTTGATTTTATAATCATAATTGTTAGACCTCATCCCAGAAATATTCTCCAAATTTCACCAGAACCTTATGTACCACCCAAATCCTCTTGCACAATCCCTATCAAGCACCTCCCATCCCTATAATCCTCCAAGAAGGTTGAAACGGAAGTGGCCTCGCGACCTTTTGTAGATAGTGTATATATTGGAGTTCTGGGAATGGCCAGATTCTTCACTCAAGACATGAGTGTATGTGGCTAAAGTGCTCTCGACCAATCTCCACTGGCTTTAGTACCTGTGAAGCGGTTGGGAGAGTAGCGCAGGGTTCTCCTGGAGTTCCCTCGCCTGATTGTATATAGGTATCCATGTGTTTTTTGCTTTGTTTTGATTTACTTATTTTTAAGTTATTTTGTTTAATTTATTATATATACTTTTTGATTATTATTTATTGCTATTTTGCTTCTATTTATTTTATATTTTTTGTATATATGGTGTGAATGTAATCCTACCTCACTATAACTAATGTACAAGTGACAGATTTGTTGTAAAAGTTAAAATGTTAAAAATATTGAAAGACGATCAAGACAAAAAAGTTGATCCATTTCATCAACAATATTCAATAAACAACGATTTAATATTTCAATTTAATAAAATTATCAAAACTATTCGATATTGTACAGTATATGCTGCAGAAAAGATCCAACTTAGAAGGATTACAGTCAATTTGTTCATAATAAAAGAATTGCTAGATCATATTCAAATTATTTTATCTTTGATTTCTACTACAATCTCTCCCTCCGAGGCGTTTGAAAAGAAGATGGCCTCAGGACCTTCTAATGTAGAACTTTATTTGAGTTCTACCAATGGGTAGTTTCTCTTCATGTTGTACATGTTACCAATGTCACATTTACTTGTTGTATTTTTAATGTAATACAGTTGTAAATTTCATTGAAATTAAAAAAAAAACTACAATCTCTGATATTGAAACTTCTTTAATCTTTTGTAGATTAAATACCTTGAACCCTTCTATAATTAATGCTAAAACTTTATTTCAAGAGTTAGAGTAAATTTCTTCACATTACGAAAATAAATTTCAATTACGAAAATGTATCCATATCAATCTATTCAAAAACTTTAATAGAAAATGTAGCCCGATTTATATACAAAGCTATTGAGCTTTGAAAAAATGCTCAGAAAATATTTTTTCATTTTTTTTTTTTAGAGAACTTTGTTGTAGTTGAGGAAATTTAGTGAGGTCTTTCGAGAAAGGGAAATAACTCCTTCTGTTTAGTGCATATGCAAAAGATTTTTGAAGGAATCTGAAAGTAGATATGAGCACAATCCAGAGTGTGAGGCACTACGCATATAGAGAGCTATTTTTGTTGCTTGATGGACTTCTCTATAACCTGCCTTAAAATGAAGTTCCAATTTGCAACTTGATTTTCTCAATCCAAATCGCTCAGGCAATCTTCAATATTTCTTATTCTAGCTTCTACGGTTCTTGAGTTGAGTTTCTTTGATACACTTAACAGGAATGAATCCCGATGGGTATTACATTTCGTACTAACTCCTTTCATATAAAGGGACAAAACTACGGTCCTTTTATATCATTTTCTAATAAATTTCTTGCCTGTGCAGCAATTCGGTTTACTTCGTCCAGACCAGCTGACTTGCCCATAGTTTCGAACAAATCTTTCTTGCTGATAAAATGGTCTTCACCACAATAAACTTCCATCATCCACTTAATATCATCCAAACTGCTGCAAAATGTGATCCCCTTTTAGCAGCATCTTGAAATATTCTGTTCACCTGTCTACTATATATTCGTTTAACCATATAAAGGATACTAATCCTTGTTTTATTTTCCCAGATTTGGGCACTTCTTTTCTCGTTCGCTTAATGTATTTATCTAATTTTTGGGTTCTATTTCGCATTTTCCCTCATTTTGAGACCAAATCCGTTCCTATAATACTGACAATCAGTTCAAGTTACCTAGAAGAACTTATAGCTTCGCCCTTTCCATCTTTTTTTGTGCAGAGAGAAAAATGCATTCAATATTAAAATTTCATATTTTTTTATATGGTCCTACTTCCGAACAACATAAAGGAAATAATAATTTTTTTTTTTTTTATTAGTGATACATGGGTTTTACTAAACAACCCATCAACTATTCATTATATGTAGTTCAGATTAAGTATATATTATTTTAGTTTATAAAACCGGTATTAATACGACTCATTTCCGGGAAAGTATATACAATTTAAATAACCTATAAGAGTCAGTAAATATACAACTCAAAGTGTTAAATTACAAACGTTAAATAAAAAAATAATGATATTCAGCAAAGTATTTTTGAAGTAAGTTTTATTATTATAATTGTATCATTTTTACAATTGAGGTCTTCTTAAACGACCTCCCTATAGAATAAAAGAAATTAAATTTAAAAAAATAATAATAAATTTTTAAAATAAATTTAAAATTTTTTTATACAATTAAGTTATTGCATTAATATTTGTTCGTTAATAAAACCTATATAATGTGCCAAAAACGTTATGATAGCACTATAACTAAGCCATTTGTGTGTGGTAGAGGCCTGTAGGTACCCACGTCGGTACCGCTTTTCTGCCGCTTATGTGCATTTTATACGGAACTGCTTCAAATATTTTAAAATGTTTTCTTAGATTATATTAAATTATAATCTTGTAAATTATAATCTTAATTAAATTATAATTATATTAAATTTAACAGGATAAATTATTTTTTTTAGTACTAATTCGCTATACTAATATTATTTTAATTTCAATATTTTTCACCGTATATAATAATTAATTACAAAATTAATGAAATAACACTATTCATATTCTTATTCATTAATACTGATGTGAGGCCAGTAAGAAAGAGGACTTATGTCGAAATCGATAATTGTTGATAAGGAGTCGATTGTTTCCTGTTAGGGCTTTTGGTCCTTTTCGTTATCGGAATTGTCAATGCACTATCATATATCAACAATTACCACATTTAATAAGCTGAATTAGTTTAAATGGTTGCAAAAATATTATTATTATTTGTTATGGATTAAGTCTATTATGTACCTTTAGTAAAACAAAATGAATAATAATTTAATAATACAAATAAAATCTCAGGTTTGAATTTTATCTTTGTAATCTTAAAATTACTACAACCCGAAATGGGTTCTCAAATAAAAAGAAAAGAGCATCCAAAAACTTCATGAATTCCGTTTGCACTTGAAGCCTTATTCTGACAAAAAATACAGATGCTATATTTAACTTGTATTCCTCACATATATTATTACAGTAAGGCTCGAAATAGGTTTCGTACCAAATATAAGCTCCTGTCATGCTCAAATACCATGAATGGAGTACCGTTGGATTCAGAATTTCACGGTGGGTTAGCGAATCGTACTCTCCGCTTTTGTTTTTCTTTCCAAAATAAATAAAGTACAAACAAAGATTTTGCTAGGCTTCAATACTGGAACGGTGGTAGGTCTGTAGATCGATATGGGGCAAATTGAGCTTTCAAGATTTTGATGCGTACAGCAAGACCCGGATAGATCCTTCGGAACTATCGGGCCGTGCATTCTTAAGCCCCAAAACGTACTATTTTCGAAATAATGCATAGCCAATGGTTCGCATCCACACAAACTTACGTCAATTGTAGTACTGTCATTGAATATATGTCTCCTTTCATCGACTTGAGGCTCCTATGATCGAGAGAGGAGGGGTTTATATTATTTATCGAAGGTGTTTTTTGTCAGTGAGCCACATCATCGTTTATTCTTCATTAAATCCACAAGATTGAACCACCAATTTGGAAGGGTTCATTGTCCTTTAGGAGGACAAAATAGTACAATCACCCCGAAAATTCAGGTAAAAAAAGTTATGAAAGAAAAGAAACTTTATTTGCGAATAAATCTAAAATTATAACCTTTTCCAAAGGTTACATCCATGAATATATAAGAGATTACTAAATTCCATACAAAAGGGAAAAAAAATTATCGAAATCGGACAATTTATAGCAAAGATGCAGCTTGTTGAAATTTGTAAACATTATTTTTTTTTTTTTATTTTTTTTTTTTTCTTACCCTCCAAAATGTTTATTGAAACAATTACATATATAGTATACAAATAAACATTATTGAACTTTTAAATTCATTTTTGTTTCCTTTGTCGATTATATTTAGCGAGAAATTAACTATTGATTTATTATTTCATCACTGAATAATAATACTGTGTGAATTTTCGCACTGGCCTGCTAGTAATGTATAAGTTCGCAATAGTTATATAACTTCAATATTATACGTATTTTGAACTACAACCAGAGAGAAACACTTTATTTTCATAAAATATAAAATATAAAGGATTGCTGCCCAATTATATTGGGTTGCTATATACGCATACTCTTCTATCCTTAGGACAATATATGAACTTATATATAAATATACAGAAGTATTAGTTAATATTAGTAAAATATAAATAAATAAATATATATATATATATATATATATATATATATATATATATATATATATATACATTTTTATTATTTTCTTTTGTCTTCCTTTCATTGTTCATGCTTCATTTTTTTTTTTTTTTTAACATTTAGTTTCCCTTTCTCTCACTTCTCTCTCTTTATCTCTATTGTTTTCAATTATTCATTAAATAAATAAATAAATACATAAATTAAAACTCTCGGACTAGCCATGCACGTGGTGGTGAATGATTCCCAGGGAGTCGAGGACTATATTTTCAGCCAACCTTGCTACGTCCTTAATGTCGACACCTAGTTCCTCGAGGAAGCTCCTTGTTCTTTTTGGGATAGTTCCGCGAAACCCAAACCAGAGGCTTCTCACGGTGAACTCTCTCTCTCCGAAGGTCTCACGGAATTTATCTTTTAGGAAAGGGATACATTTATCGTACGTGTTCTTCATTTCCCTTTCCACTTCACCCGCCTGATTGAGGTCATTGCTCTCAAAGCGGACAGTTGGATCCAAGATCAGCGCTGTCCTTCCTGTCTTGGGAAATGCGACGATATCCGCGTATCTCGTAGAGCCTTCACTATCGATGCAATATACCTCGTCAAAGCAGGTGAATTTACTTTCCCTAAGGAGCCTCATCAACTCGAACTTGACCCGGTGGTGACGACGTGTTATGAGGAGGGAGTTGTTGGGGCACTTTCCCAGCACATGGGCTGGTGTTTCAGAATCTCTGCCGCATTTACGGCAGAGGGACCCAACTTCTCCGACCTGTACGCTGACTCCTGGGACTCCACGCAGGGGTGCATAATTAATGTTTAGTTTTAGGGCATTCTACCATTCAGACCCAGAAAGTACTTGCTTTTCGTAGACGTATCTATTCGCTTTCGGGGTCTCTTTAAAATGGCGAACACCAATACCCCGCTACCTGCAGTTAGCCCATTCCTCAAATGCATTTTCTCGTAGCGACTGCCGTAGAGCTTTCACATTTCGATGACCCTGATCAACCCCCAATCTCTCGGCACCATTTTCTTGGTTACACAATTACCTGTACTTTATCTTTTATATATTTTATGTATCGTAAGGTTTTTAATGTTTCGCTTGACGATTAAATCTTGGGAAGAAGCCATTTTCGAAATACAGTAATCTCTCAACAACCATGGGTTTGATATTTACGAGTTTTGATCATCAGCGAGTAAAAAAATCTGGAAGAGTTTTAGATTTTTTGATTGCGTACTTGCCGATTCATGATTGAAAAAGAAATTAGCAACTCAAACGATTCCCAATGCAGTATGCATGTACATATTCAAGATGCATATGTACGTTATAGATATGTACGAACTCGTGAAATGGATAGAACCCAAAATCACTGAAAAACTACAACTTTCTGTTTATTTTAAATTCTTTCAAAGTTTATATTCAGCCACTTTTTTAGTTTTACTGACAATGAGAGACAGTTAACTGTTTAAATTAAACCAAATTAAAGTTACTCCAGAGAAGGAAATTCCCAACATTAGGCACCTGCTTGGCCACATCTGTGAAAATATAATCTAACTGGTATTAAAGAGCATTTAATATAATCTAGCTGGTATTAAAGAGCATTGAATATAATCTAGCTGGTATTAAAGAGCATTTAATATAATCTAGCTGGTATTAAAGAGCGTTCAATATAATCTATCTGGTATTAAAGAGCGTTCAATATAATCTAGCTGGTATTAAAGAGCATTTAATATAATCTAGCTGGTATTAAAGAGCGTTTAATATAATTTGAGCCCGTTTTGAGAAAATTGATTATATAAAGTGGGACATACAGTTTTGAGGGAAAAGTAACTGTAACATCCCAGCCATACACTTATACTATCTTAAATACGTAATTTTAGATTTTCAAGACTTTTCGTTTTTGAGCTATACTGTTCGAATAAACATGGACCATTTTGTGGGACTTGGTTATTTGGACTCAGATGACGTATATTTACATTAAAAACTCGAAATCGAAAATTTTCACGATCGCAAGCCATCCCTTACTATATATTCCGTATGTAGGTAAGATTGGAAGCAAACAAGTATATGCACTTAATTGTCTGCTATTCAAGATGATTTTTCATCAATTTTTGAGTTAAAGTAAAATGGAGACCCAAAGGTGCTAGGCCTGAAAGAATTCAGCGAATGCCAGTTGAATGCTACTCGTAGCACGTACAAATGAAGTATATTATCGTTTGATTAAAGACCTTTATATTTGATAAATACCTGAGGTGTAGCTTCCTCTGTCAGGTCAGGCAGTGATGATGATGATGTCGTGTCACCTGTAACTTCTGTAAAGCCTTCAGTCGAAGTAGCTACATCATTTTGGGTCCTCTTTGGAGTTAGGGCAAGAGCGGTACCACATTGCATAGGGTTTGCACTTGAAGCGGTACACTGAAAAAATAAAAATATCTATTTAACAAGATTAAATATATTTTTTGATTATAAATGTGCAATACCAATATTAATATAATTTCAAAATTTTTGAAATTATTTATTTATTTACACGAAAAAGTTGCTGTCACATCCGGCCCATATACAAACCTTAAATACTTAATATCAGTTTCTTACTACTTTTCGTTTATGAGCTAGACTGTTAAAAGACACACACACACAGACCATTTTGCGACACTTGGTTATTTAAACTCAGGGGACCTCAAAAGATGTATTTCCATTGAAAACTGAGATTCGAAAATTTTCACTGTCCCAATACTTTATATATTACATATATACGTAAGTGAAAGTAATATAAAATAATTTCATGGATATATAAAGCATATGTTCATTGCTCTGTGTGTTATTTTTACAGTATCCACTTTCATTGTAGTTGTATGAAAGTAGAAGTGAAATATAAAACTATTTTATTGATACGTTTATAATTTTAAATATATTTACTATAGTTTAATAATTTTGGATCTGATATTATATTTAAATATTTAGATATCAATCGTCCGTTTATTTTTAAGTAAAGCAAACAAGTATTTAAAATCCACCGAATCAAGCCAATGATTATCGTTATGTTTATAACCTTAGATATATTTTCTGAAGTTTAATAACTCTAGAGATAAAATTATATTTAAATAATCAGGTATCTATTGGTCGTTTATTCCAAAATATCATCAAGTAACCTTTTAGAAAATTAAATTAGTGCATAATTTGATGAATTTTTCCTTTGTGAAATTCCAACATTATCCACTTACAATTAGTGTGACAACTTTTGACCTAATCATCATAGGCAATACAAACCTCGCTTGATATCATTTTAGTAAACTTTACAATGGAAAGTAACTAATCCAGTCCTACAATCAATAAATTTATAGGTGAAATATTCTGACAAGTGTTGGTCAAAAGCGAGACTGAGACGAGTCTTAGTCATAGTCTTGGTCTTGCACAAGAGTCTCGCAACAGTCTTGCAGTTACATATTAGCTTATTACTATAGAGGTATTACTGTAATATTGTAGACTAGTAGGCCCGTGCGAAAAATTCGCACAGCATATTGTTATCAAATGCCAAATTATTAAGAAAATGCAACTTATCAAAAGATTAAGACATCAAATGTTACTTTATCGGTAAATATAATCCACAAAGCAAACAAAAATTAATTTAAATCTTCATTTTTGTTTGGAACCAACATGTATACAAATTTCAGTAAGCTGTATATTTGCTAAAAATTGTCCGGTTGCGATGATTTTTTTTTTCAAGGGGGGAGCCTTGGTTCCAATTTAGTGCAAAAAAAATTTTTTTTATTATTTTTGTGAAAATTCGTATTTGAGGCTTTATAGAGGTGCGAAATACAAATCTCAACTCCGTTTTCCCATAAAAAAATATTTGAACCCACTTTCGTCCTTCGGTCAGTACAAATTGTTTCATCGTCGTACTAATAATATAGCTATATGCCAAATATATAGTTATTTTTAAATAAAATTGGCTATGATGAATATTAATCGAAAATACGAAAAAATAAATAATAAAATGAAAAATAAAAAATATTGGAAAAAATTCTAATCGTTTTCGATGATGTTCTTTTATCCTTTTGTAAACAATTTAGTAATGTTTTATATAATCATGGGAATAAACAAGGGGAAAGTGTGTAATTTTTCAGTTATTCGCAAATAAAGTTTATTTTCTTTCATAACTTGTTTGCCTGAATTTTCGGGGTGATTGGACTATTTTGCCAGCCTGAAGGAGAAGGAAGCCTTCGAAATTGGTGGCTCAATCTTGAGATTTGGTGAAGAATTAACGATGATATGGCTTGCCGATCAAAAACACCATCCATGAATAATATAAACTCCCCCTCTCTCGATCTTAGGGACCTCAAGTCGACGAAATGAGACATGTATTCAATGACAGTACTACAATTAATGTAAGGTTGTGTGGATGCGAACCCTATGCCTTACGTTATCTCGAAAATAGTACGTTTTTGGGCTTAAAAACGCAGGATCCGATAGTTCCGGAGGAACTATCCGGGTCTTGCAGTACGCATCAAAATCTTCAAGGTCCAATTTGTTCCGCATCGATCTACAGACCTACCACCGTTCCAGTATCAAAGCCTAGCAAAATGTTTGTATCGACTTTATTTATTTTAGAAAGAAAAACAAAAGTGGAGAATACGATTCGCTAACCCCCCGTGAAATTCTGAATCCAACGGTGCGTTGCGCGCACCAGATTTTTTTATATAGCAATAAGACTAGTTATTATATTCACTGTCATTTTTCAATAAAGTATCTTTTTAAAAAGTTATTTAGCGTTGAAGATTATTAAATTATATATATATATATATATATATATATATATATAAATTATCATAGATACTTTAGACTATATAATTATACTATACATATACTTACAGTGAAGTGGTAGAGATAGAATAGAATACAGTTGAGGGAGAGCGATATGACAAGAACTAAGGTTTGGAAAGACATGTTAAGAACTGAGTAGCCGATTCCAGAGAAGAGCTGGCTGCGGTAGTATATATATATATATATATACATGTCCTATCGTATAAAGTCGTCCGCAGGATATGAATAATATTTTGGTATGATAATGGGGAAGGCCGTGAACGTATCATAACTTATTTTCCTCAACATTTCAGCCAAAGACAAAATGTTTAAATTTATACGAAAAAGAAACATCGATTAGGTGATATACTAGCCCCTGCCTAATTAACAACCATCTAAAACTTCTCGAACGACTTCAGCTTAATGTAACCCAATATATTTTGTTTTATTTCAAGCTATTGATCAATATATAATGATTCAAAGCCACAATTCTTTGCTGGTTTTCATCAACTTTGTTGAACTTAGTTTTTGTAGTTTTCGCATCTTCAGTAAAATCTACCAAATCATCGGCGTTCCCTAGCACAGATATTCTTCCATTCATATTCAAAGCGTTTTCAGAATACATCATCTCTCTAATGATATCTTCTAGTGATGAATTAAATAAAACAGGAAAAATGAGAGATCAGCTGGTTTTAAACCGTGAAGAATAAAAAAAATCTGGTGCGCGCAACACACAACTTTCACTTACCAATCTACTATAAACAGAAATTATTTTCTGGCAATGCTCGGCTATAATAAATTTTTTTTAAGTACATTTTAAACGGAGCTAAAGCTTTAAGCTTACAGATAACAATTCATTAAGACCATAATAATTACAAAATGTCTATTTAATATATCGACGACATGCAATAAAAATCTAGTCACCTCATCTGCTTTTATAAACCACTCAACTTTCTTTGCTTTTATAAACCACAGAATGACTAACTCCAATTTCAATATTTTTAAGTGATGTCATTTTAGTGATATTTTTAGTTGAAAAAGTTATATATGCAGAATATGAGTAAGTTGATTCCGGAGGTGGTGATTGCAGTGTTGAAATATAGAACTGAAAATAAAGGTATAAATTTAGGTACTTATTTCTTATGAAAAATGTTCTTAGGAAGATACTTTATTAAATATCTGTAGAAAAAAAAGTTTTTTTTGTCTTAACAATTAAAATAGTATATTTTAAATTTATCCAAATTTTCGACTCTTCAGGGAAAAAAATTAGAGACCATATCTTTCCTCCTAGTTGTCCGATCTTAACGATTTTTTTTTTTTGTTTTTTTAGGAAATTCCAAAAACTTTAAAAAAACCATCAACAAAAAGTGTATACTTTTTGAGTTATTAGGAATTTAATTTTACCATCCCTCGTAACTTTTTTTTCAGCTTCTCTTCGCTGAAGTATGTTATATAGATAAATTTAAAGGGTGTCGAAAAAATGTTTCATTGAAATTGGTACATCCGTTTAGGCGCTACAGTCTATAGCAACGCAGGTTTTTATACAATTTTTTTTCTCCTTTATTAACTTATCAAATTCTTTCAAAAGTTATATTTAGCATTTTTTCATTACTTTGAATAATGTGAAATGATTAACTTTTTAAAATAAACCATATTTAAGGTACTTTAGAGGAAGACGTATATGAACATTGGGCATTTAAGCCCTGAAAAGTGACATCAACGGGGATAAATATAAATGGTATTAAAGACCATTTAATTATACAATGATACACCGAGTTTAATCAAAATCGTTAGAGCCGTTTTTAAGAAAATTGTGAAAATGTGTTTCAGCGTTGATATAAAGTGGCACTTCCGGTTAGCCGATTTTAAAGACAAAGTCGCCGTCAAATCTAAGGCATATACCTATCTTAAATACGTGATATCAGTTCCGTAGGACTTGGTCATTTCGACTCAGGATACCTCAAAACGTCTATTTCTGTTGAAAACTAAGATTCAAAAATTTCCTCGATCGCAATACTACTTATCGCAATACACTTACTATATATTACATATATACGTAACTGAAAGTAAAAATGGCGTAAATCTAGTTGATTGTCCATTTTATTTTTTGGGATTGGCAATTCAAGTTATTAAAAAATCTCACCTCGTAAATGGAATATATAACAAGTAGCAGAATTAAGAAGTACAAAGGTGGATATTTCTTGGAATCTTAAAATTTAGGAGGCATAAAATATTGAAATTTTTTTTTTTTTTACTTTTTGATTATTTGATTAATCAGTTATTAACAAATCAATAATTCAATTAATATCAAGAGTTAATATACCTGATTAGTTATCCCGTGCGAATGATTCGCTGAAAAATTTTGTTCAGGGAAGGAATAGCAAAACAATATGGAAATAATTAGATCCTATGTATTATGTAAGGTAGGAAGTAATTGTTTTTCCTGGGCCGATTAAAATATTCGATTTAACATGATAGACCAAAATATTTGTATGAGAAGGAGTTGATCAGGGGGTGCGGTCAAATAAATACTAAATTATACAAATACTATTATTAATAATAATATTATTTGTATAGTTTAGTATTAATTTGACCACACCCCTCGATCAACTCCTTCTCATATTATATCACGGTCAACCATCTCTACATCAAAATATTTGTACAATTGCTTTGCTAAGGCATATTTTTAAACGCTGACTGAAAGGATAATAAAGGCAAAATAATGCCTCGATCGTGGGATTTTCTAAGCTATTAAAAAACATAAAATGTAAGAACAAATAAATGCCTTTAAGAAATAACAAAGTTAATATATCAGCCAGGAAAAAAAAATGTAGTAGACTATTCTACTCCTAAATGCAATATCTTTAAACAGGAAGACATTAACAATTATACCAAAACAAAAGGAATGTATCTTTGTTAATAATTAGCCGATTTTTACAAAATCTATTTTCTTTTGTAGGTAATGTAGTAATATTTCTAACTATAATGGGTACAAACCAGCGAAAAATGCCTAAATTTTGAGTTATTCGTAAATAAAGTTTCTTTTCCTTCATAACGTTTTTCCCCTACATTTAGAGGGAGTGTGACTCTTTTTCCTACCTGAAAGTGAAGAAGATCTTTAAAATGAGAGCTCAATCATTGGATTTGATGAAGAATTGACGAAGTTTCGGCGTTTCGACAAAAAAAAAAAAACACCTTTTAGAAATAATATATAAGATGGTGATTATAATTCATCTTATTGTAACCTACAATTCTTTTAACTACAAAAATTCTCAGACATTTATGGTTTTATAGTTAAAATAATTAATTTAATGTCATACTACAAACTCTTGAATACCCATTTGCTTTCCACTAGTATCGCAAGATAGTTTGAGCACAAAATCGATAGTTCAAAGAATATTGGGCCGTTTGGATTGGATAATTTCGAACTGTTGTGCTGGTGGTCTTGTCAAATGGCCTAATATTTTTGAAGGCCAAATTTGTTATCGATATAATAATAATAATAATAGTTTATTTATTCTGGGACAAGGCCTTTTAGAATAATATATAGATATAAAAAAGCAGGCTTTAGAGCCGCAGAGAATAAGCACACAAAAAAATATACATAATAAATTTTAAAAAAACGGTGTGCTTTCGACCAAACGATAGAAGTGAAAACATCAAGGCGAGATTAATAATAAAAAATATAAATTATAAATAATAGCTCATTATAAAGAGAGTCAAATGCTGAACATTTCCCTCGCTTACAGTGTAAAAGTCCGATTTGTAGCTTCTGAGATATTTTAACCCATATCTTCCATAAAACCCTTTAATTTGGGTATGGGCTTCTTTTGTATTCCATTATTTTTCAATTATTTTGATTACATCTTTCCAGTTAATATTGGTAAATACATTTTTTACATCAAAACAGACCAAACAATATTTACCTATTGTCTATTATATTTATTCTTTCAAGCATTTGATCCACCTCCATTGAGTTTTTTCCATCATTGTTACTATCTGATTCCAGGTTACTGAGTGTGAGATTGTAATATTTAGCTAAATTTTTCAGTTTTCCCATTGATAGTAACAAGTGGATCGCCACTTTTATGTAACTTTACTAATCCATGTATTTTAGGTGTATTGTAGTTTGGGTTAATTAGTTTAAGTTCATTTGATGAGAAATTTTTAAAGTTATTACTTCTCTTCTTATTTTTTATATATTGTCAATAATTTTGTCAAAATAAATTTTCAATTTTGTAATAATATTAGCATTTGCACTATATCTTAGCATAAACTCGTTATCATTTGATTTTGGACACTATTTTGTCCTTTTCGCCTCCCTAACACGGCGTCGCATTGAGATAAAATTTTGAATTATGACTTATTACAGAGGATGAAATGCTAAACAATTTCTTCGCATATTATGCATAGCCGATTTTTAATTTCTGAGATATTTTAAACCATATGTAAAAACATTTCGATTAGTCGATTCTAGCCGACTTTAAGCGAGCGTTACACATTGGAGATCTGACGGCTGATTCTCTACAAAACGCAGCTAATGAAGTTTTTACTTCAATAATCAAAAACTAAAAGCATGGATTAAAGTTTTGCAGTAGAACAGTGTTTTAACCCGAGCGTTAAAATCTGACGGATCAACCTAAGTCACTCACACAAAAAAAAAGAAGTTTCCATTTCAAAAAAATATCGATTACTTTCAAACTTTATTTGATTAAAACAAAAAATGAAAATTAACTAATAATTAATATGATGGTTGATAAATATTCAGGACGCAGTCTTTTTTAATTTTTTTTATTTTTGCCAACGTTTCAAGTTTTATCCTTTCATTGCATTTTAGATACCTAAAGCTATCTGTTTGTAATTTTTCAAATTATATCCTAAAATTGCTATCATGCTTTAAAATGTCTGCTCTATTTGCTATCTTAGCCTAAAGCTGGGGTAAGATGACGAAAATGAGAATTTTCGAAAAAAAACTCATGGTAATACGAGAGGTATTAAAAAAGTATTCAGTCCCTAAATCCATTCACACGGCCAAGAAAAATTGTTAAAAAAAAAAGAAAAAGGTTGTCATGGTGATATTACTCCGACTTCCCCCGCTGTCTATAAAATAATCTATAAAATAAATCGAAGCTGTCTGATAAGAA